TTCAACAAGCAAACAATGCAGCACCAGCTGCTGCTGCTGCTGCTGCTGCTGCTGCTGCTGCTGCTGTTGCAGTTCACGCTGCTTCTGCAGCAGCCCGAAGCAGCAGCAGCAGCAGCAGCAGAAGCACGAGCAATCCATACATTTGTTTCAAGTTACTCGCTTGTTGCTGCAGCAGCTGCCCCTGCAGCTGCAGCAGCAGCAACCGCAGCAGCAGCAACAGCTGCTGCTGCAATGACAGCTGGTGCTGCAGCAGCTGCTGCTGCAGCGTAATTAGTAGCAGCAGTTGCTGCTTTTTTTAAGAAAGCTGTCTGTACACCTCAAAGCAGCGTGGGGCGTATAATCGAGCCGGTGATGGACTCCACCTGAATGAGTGTGCACAATTTAATTTTTTAAGTAAATAAATAAATAGAATAAATAAATAAATATTTATTTATTTATTTATTTAAATGATTAATTAAATATTTGTTTATTTAAACTCACAGGGCCGTGAGGAATAGACGGGCGGGGATAAATTTTTGCTTCGCTTTTCTTTGGCCAGTAGGCGCAGCAGTTATGCTCCTGGACAATTGCATTTAAATTGTTGTATATTATATTAAAGAATTAATTTCTTTATTAGTTTATTGCTTTATTTGTGCATGCAAAAGAGACAAACAAACTCACGAAATTCATCTTACGAGACTCGCTGAAGCCACCGAAGTAGTGCATGGAATCGCAGGGGCTAATAAAGCGAAGACGGAGTTAGGAGTTGGGGTGTATAGGCAGCTTTGAAGTATTATAATAAAGCTCTTAGCTGCGCTGCACTGCACACTGCGACGATGTGGTGTATGCATATACACCTCAAACTCAACGCACCCTCGGTATGAGCGGCCCCAACAAGAACCGTTTGCTTGCAATAGCCAACCTTGAGGGCATAGGCTAGTATAGTCTCGAGTGTATTTAGGCCCAGGGCAGCTGCAGTTGTTTGTTGCAATAAGTGGGGAAGCAGCGAGAAGAAAAGAAGAAAGAAATAGACGAACAACAAATGCATGCAAGACAAAACAATGAAGCACTTATTACTCTTTCAGTGATAATAACCCTTTGAAACTGTTCTGGGCAATATGCAAAAACTTATAATTACCCACAGGTAAAGGGGTTTACGGCGAGCGGCGTCGAGGCGCTGATCTAACTGCGACATCTCCTCTACATTGTCCCTTATAATGCAAATTTCATTCAAATAATGTTGTATTTCCAATGCAATATTCAACTCCTGTACTCACGTGGCAATCTCCTGGGCCTGTCAGGGTTTAGGGTTTAGGGTTTAGGGTTTGTTGGGTCTGTAAGAAGGCAAAAGAAACTGAAGAAATCAATCGTACGATATCATCCGTCGTAGGCAGTGCATCGAAACCGAGTGAAAATTCGTTTGCAATTTCTTTTAAAGAAAATTCAACTCTTAAATAAATTGTAAAATGGTGTAGTAGATGATTTACTGTCGATGGTTTCCGCCATATTAGCTGCATGCCACCAGCCGATCGGAATGTGAAATGCGGGGTGTCTTTGCAGTTCGAGTTTGACTTACTGGCAGTACTTTTTGCAGTAAAAGGATTAATTCTATGTTTGAGAGAAAATGCAGAAAAGGACAAAAGACTCCACAGGAAACCGCTAATAACCGCTGCGTGGGCTACTGCTCTTCGTGCAGATTTCATCTCCCGTCGTGAGAGGGAAAGCGAGGTAAAAATGCGAATCAAGGGAAATCCGCCTTTTGAAAAGATAAAATAAATACGTAGATATCCATTTTGCCTGCTTTTTCATATATTATAATGCTCTAGTTGGGGGTATTCCACCCAAATCGGCATTTTGTGCTTCCTTGAAGTTGGGGTGTATGGTCACCCCCCCATCAACCCGGTACTACGTGCTGGCATACGTAGCTACGTCAGTTGCACTTTTCGTTGAAGATCCTCACCTTTGATCTCTTTTTATTCACCTTTTTCAGTTTTTTCTGCTCTTTTTAGAGCCTTAAGGCGGATCTGCGAAAAATTCGCCACCCTTCACAGGTTTTAAGCAAGCGAAGTCCCCGCGGTGCCGGCGGCTCAGACCAGCGGTTATACGGAAGCGATCTCCGGTTTATTTGAAACTTTTTGGTTAAATTTCGTTAATTTTTTAGTTTTTGCAGTAAATTGTTTACTGGATAGCCTTAAAACTGCAACCTTTTTATCCGTTTCGCTCCACGAGACAACTGTGCGATCGCCGCGTTTTTCAGATTCAGTACAGTAGCTGCCGTTTCGTTTGTTATCAGTAGAAATTCAATTATTCTTGCAATATTTCCTTGTTTTCTTCCTTTATTTGTTGATTTTTGTCCTTTTGGGCCCAACATTTCGTTCTTTATGCGTTTTGAAGACCGATTTCCACTGATCTCCGCAATGGATTCAGCGTGTTCCGGCCGTACAGCTGGTGTTTCGGGCCTGCGTCTGCCTGCGGCTCCGCATACCTTTTATAATTTTTACAAGACGAAGATGTGTGACAGAGAAGAGGGCAGGCCTTGTTCTTTTCCTGCAGTTTGCAGCTTCGCCCACAGCCCCGCTGAGTTGCGCCCTGTGTATGACTTGACTAGGACCCGCATGTGCCCCCAGCAGCAGGAAAAGGGTTTTTGTTCTTCTTTGCGGTGTCGCTACTCTCACTCTCCTTCTGAACTCCGCTCTACCTCCACCTTCTATAAAACGCAGCTTTGCATCGGATTTCAGACCCCCAGCGGCTGCCGCCACGGTGAGATGTGCCGCCATGCGCATGGGTTAAAAGAACTGAGGCCTTCTCCTGCTCCTCTGTACACTGTACGCCTGCCAAGACATGGATGCACTAAATCTAAGAAGCAGCAAAACAATAGCAGGTCGAATCTCGCTGCTCCCCCCGCTGCTCCCGCTCCTACTGCCACTGCTGCTGCTCCTGCTGCTGCTGCTGCTGCTGCGGCTCCCGCCGCAGGAGCTCGAACTGGTGCTGCACTTGAGACCCCTCTTCGTCTACCTGCTGTGCGGGAAAAGGGAGGAAGTAAAAGAGGAGACAAAAAAACTCAACAGCTACTAAACGCATGCAAATGGCTGCTTGAGAGAAACTGCAACAACAGCAGCAGCAGCAGCAGCTGCAGCAGCAGCAGCAGCAGCAGCAGCAGCTCCAGCACCATCACAAGCAGCAGCATCAGCAGCAGTAACAGCAGTAACAGCAGCGTCAGCACGACTCCTCCAGCAGCTGCAGCAACAGCAACAGCAGAGCCGGTTGCTGCCTTTGCTTCTGCTATAGGCCCTCCCCCTGGCTTTGGAGTGTCTATACAGCAGCATATGGATTTGTTAGCAGCTAAAATTATTTCTTGCCGTCTCTCCGGGGCCTTCCCCGCGATATCTCCCTCCCTGCACCCTCTCAACTGCAGCAGCTGGGACCCCACGGGCGCCGTTGCAGCCCAACAGCAGCAGCAGCAACAGCAGCAGCAGCAGCAGCAGCACCAGCGACAGCAGCAAGGTGGGAGGCGTATTGATAACCTGCTGCTGCCCGCGCTACCTAAAAGGAAGCAAAAGCAAACAAAAGCGAAGACGGAGAATGCAGAGACGAAACAAAACAACAAAAATTATTTGAATAAATGCAAAGGCCTCCTGACAGCCTCTTCTGGGCTCGTATCGTGGGGAGGCAACCAGGCAGACCCTGCTGCTGCTGCTGCTGTTGCTGCTGTTGCTGCTGCTGCTGCTGCTGCTGCTGCGGCCCAAACTGCTGCTGCAGCTGCAGAAGGGGCAGCGGCCGCAGCAGAAAATGCAGCCGCAGCAGCAAAAGACGCAGAAGCAGCGGGGCCTGCTGCCGTGGCTGCTGCAGCAGCAGCAGCAGCAGCTGCTGCTGCTGCTGCTGCTGCCGCCGCAGGAGATGCAGGAACAGCAATTGTGTCGCCTGATACAGAGGAACAAACGCCAACCCTCTAATTAAATTTTTCTTAAAGCGAAGCTGCACCTCCCCTCGGTGATATGAGGAGGCAG